AGTTGGTCATTTGCGATCGGTCTGTATGTAACGCGGCTTGCGCGCGCACGCTCGCGCAAAGAGAAGAATATCGCGTTCCGCAATCGGCCACTTCATGTTGAACCCCATCTGATGAGGATGGCGATGATGAGAGCGTCAACGGCCTCCTAGAGCTCTATTTACCCCCCCTGCCGCGCTTAAAGGATAACTCTTCAGGTCATGGGGCCGATGCGTTGCACCGTCTGCATCATCGGATTCCAGCGTTGTGTTGGTAGTGCCGTTCAACGAGAAACTGCTAACCTTACTAGTGCGCTGTTGGGTCGTCATCGGGGCCGCGCGTCATCTTTCCTGGCGATGTGTTCCCGGTGGGCGGCGGTGATTCGAGGGCCACATCTCGCAGCAAGGTGCCAACGTCGTCTGGCGTTGCACTCATGATCGAAGCTATCGTTTCACGCTCTTGGGCGTGCAAGTGTTGAGCCCCTTACTTTTGCATTGTCAGTTCGTGCCGCAACAACCCTCCTCACAACATATGCTTCTAAACCGAATCTCCTGAACTTGCAGAGGGGGGCCCAGGGATGGTTCATCTTGCAGCAGCCAGCCTTTCCCCCCGAAGGACAGACTACACGTCGGGAGACGAGGATTCGGCCTTGCCTGGGACTTTACGGACTTGGCCTGATGTCTTGGGAGAACAACGGGAATCATGAGCGGCACCTCACTTTCTAGCCACGAGCGGCTTACCGTATTCCCCACTATTCCCTGATGGCCACCTCATTTTTGAATCTGAGTTTCGGTACTGGCACTTCCTCTATCTATGGCTGCCTCGGGCGCTGGGAGACAAGCTGCATGCGGCTGATCAGTTTCCCGCCTTCTGCTGTCCCTCCTTGTCGTTCGCCTCGATCCTGCTCCGCCTGCTCGCTCGTCGTCCCTCCACACCCTCCTCCCAATCCGCTCCACTAGGGCTATCTCCGGCTACAGTCAACCCGCATGGTAAGGATGGGCAACCTTCCAAAGAGTACCCGTGCATCCTTGCCCTTCGGCCCATCCTTAGCGACTTTCACTGGCCAACCTCGTTCGAGAAACGTCGACTTGGCCCTCCAAGGCCCTTGCATCCGTACCGCGCATGCAGGCCGTCTGGTTCTGAAGCTGCCTGGGTCCAAATCGTTTTACGGTGGGAGCCACTCTGCGAGGCGGGGGGGCCCACACCCCAGAACCACAGCCTCGGAGATCGATACCCCAGGCGGTGGTTCTGGACAACTCCCCGCCTCGGAACATCCGAAGGGGGGCGCGGCGGCGCGCACAAGTCGGGGGTGGACAGACCTCCTACCCTGACACGTCGATCAAGGAATTGGCCGTTTTCGGTTCGCGAGGGGGCGTCGCGGCCGCCCTTTTTCGCGGGTCCAGGTCCGTCGGTTTCGGTCCCAGGCCTTTTTCACTAAAGGGTGGTTACTAAAGGGAGGTCTGCCCTACGCCCGGCAATTTTTGGATAGCGTTAGGGGGCTCCACGCGAAACTTACCCCTACCCCCCACGATTTCTGAGGAGGAGGGTGGGGTTCACTTCGTTCGGGAGCTCCCGAGCGAAGTGAACCCCAACCTCCCCCTCGGAAATCGTGGGGGGTAGGGGTAGGTTTCGCGTAAAGCCCCCTAAGCGTATCGCGCCGCCGGTTCTGGCCCGCCACGTTGCGGCGCGACACGCTTTCCCCTTCCTGGCTCCCGGGCGTCAAGTCCCGAAATCTCCCAGCCTCCCGCCCCGCGGAGCGGAGCGACACGCTATCCGCTCGCATGGCATGGCGTGTCGCCGGGGCCGCCACCGCGACACGCTAAGCAAAAGCTCCCGACCATATTTGGAGGATCGAAACGGTTAATTGCGGCAAGAATCTTGAAAGACCAGCGGCAGTTCTTGCCGAATTTGAGCTGGATTCGCGACAATGTTGGTTTCGGGTTCGATGGAGCGTTTGACGAGCTGGAAGGACATGAACCAGATTCGCTGTCGGTGTTGACACGGATGTGGCCGATTTGATACAAAAAGTCGCAACAGCGGGTGCTTCTGGTTTGTACAACATTCGTTCTTGGGCATCGTACCCGTTTGTTCCGTATCCGCTCTGTGCGTGTACATGTTTGAAAGAGCGTGTTCTACCGCTGCTGGCGGAAAACCGGGCGGGGTCACTGGGGGTTCCTAACCCGCCCCCCCCCCCTCGAAAACCCGGGGGGGGTCACCACCGGTTCGACCCCCCCCCACCACCACCAGTCCATCATGAAAAGGGGGGGGGTCACTACCTTTTCGACCCCCCCCCCCTCGAAAACCGGGGGGGGTCACTATAGTGGTTCGAACCCCCCCCCCCTCGAAAACCGGGGGGGGTCACTACCGGTTCGAACCCCCCCCCCGCCGCCAGCAAATGATGCCCGCTCCTCGGGACTGTTGGAGAATGGTGGGGATGTTGGGACAGTGGTGGGAACGGTGGTGGTGGGGACATTGGTGCGGGGACAGTGGGACAGTGGTGCGGACAGTGGTGGGGACGGTGGTGGTGGGGACAGTGGTAAAGGGACAGCGGGACAGTGGTGGGGACGGTAGTGGTGGGGACACTGGTGAAGGCGGTGGTGAGGACAGTGGTGGGACAGTAGTACAGTGGGGAGAGTGGTGGGGACAGTGGGGACAGTGAGACAGTGATGGGGACAGTGTGGACGGTGGGACAGCACAGTTGGACAGCGGCGGGGACAGTGGGACAGTGGTGGGAATAGTGGGGACAGTGGGACAGTGGTGGGGACCGTAGGGAAAGTGGGGGGAGTGGGACCGTGGTGGGACGATGGTGGGGAGAGTGGGGACAGTGAGACACTGGTGGGGGACACTTGCACTGGTGCGGGGACAATGGTGGGACCAGTGGGGATAGTGGGACAGTGGTGGTGGGGACACTGGTGTGGGGACAGTGGTGGAAACAGTTGGACAGTGGAGGGTACAGTGGTGGTGGCGACAGTGGTGAGGGCAGTGGCGAGGACGGCGGTGGGATAATGGGACAGAGATACAATAGGGACAGTGGTGGGGACAGTGGGGACAGTGGTGGGAACAGTGGGACAGCTCAGTGGGACAGCGGCGGAGACAGTGGGACAGTGGGGACAGTGGAACAGTGGTTGGGGCCGTGGAGAAAGTGGGGAGAGTGGAACCGTGGTGGGAACAGTGGTGGGGACAGTGGGGACAGTGCGACTGCGGTGGGGGCACTGGTGAGGACAGTGGTGACGGTGGTGGGAACAGTGAGGACAGTGGTGGTGAGGACAGTGGTGCTGGGGACAGCAGTGGGGGATGTGGTGCGGACGGTGGTAGGGACCCACAGTTGTGTGCTGGCGGTGAGCGTAGGGGGGGATGGGTGGGGTTCGAACCAGTAGTGACCCCTCCCGGTTTTCGAGTGGGGGGGGTGGGGGTTCGAACCAGTAGTGACCCCCCCCCAGTTTTCGAGAGAGGGGGGGGGGTTCGAACCGGTAGTGACTCCCCCCGGTTTTCGAGGGGGAGGGGGGGGTTCGAACCGGTAGTGACCCCTTCTGGTTTTCGGAGGGGGGAGGGGGGGAGGGTTTCGAACCGGTAGTGACCCCCTGGTTTTCCTGAGGGGGGGGGGGGAGGGGGCTTCGAACCGGTAGTGACCCTCCCTGGTTTTCCGGAGGGGGGGGGCGGTTAGGGGAGGCCGGGGGGGTTCTAACCGGTAGTGACCCCCCCCAGGGGGGGGGTGGGGCCGGTTAGGGGAGGGGGGGTTACTGGGGGGAAGGGAGGGGGGTCAGCAAGGGGGGGGGAGGGATTTTCGGAGGGGGGGGGACCCCCGGGTTCTGGAGGGGGGGGGGGGGACCCCGGGTTCCAGAGGAAGAGGGGGGGAAATCTTCCACAGTAAAGCGGCGGTGGATCACGCTCTCTCAAATGTTTTTTGGCTCCGTCGCGGTGGCGCTCTCCACCTCAGGCTCGAAGAAGAACAAACGGCCTGAGCATAGACCTTATTTGGCCAGCATGTTGTTGCTAATGCGCACGGGCTTGACTTGTACATTGGGGAGACGCGCAGGTAGACGACGCTCTTTGTCGACCTTAGAGAAAGCGTCATATGAAGAATCAGCATCGTCATCCGTACATGTTTAAATGTACACCATGTTGTAACATAAAGGTGCACGCTTGTGTGGCATTTTCCTTTCATGATTAACATTGTATGCTCGTTCTTAAGCGCAATATTGGGATTGCGCTGAGAGGTACACTCGAGTGTGAGAAAACACATCCCCGAACGTTAAACTCGAACATGCACGTTCGGTGTTGTATGGGGGGCACTTCCAGTAAATAACGCCAACACTGAATCAGATCTCGTGGACCAACTTGCGGCGCGATTTTGATGCGTTTTCATAGATGCACCCAAAGTGCCGCACGCGTGGGAAGTGCATCATTTGTGGTGCACGGTTGGTTCGCGCATAGTGCAAGCGCACCACAAGTGCACCGCAGGTTGGTCCGCGACTTGCGGTGTATTTCAGGCTCTTTTTGAAACAAGTGCACCGAAACTGCCCCAGCGGAGGTTCACATTTGAAACAAACATGCACAACTTGATGTGCGCAGCTTTGTTGCAAAATGACGACGTGGAAACGCAAGGCTTGCAGTTCAGCCAAGCCTCGGTTTACGTGACCAGCTGAGTTCACATCAAACCGAAATGAACCCTGCAAAACCTTCGGTGTAGGCTGTGGAAGAGATGCCAGGCTGCTGTCAGCATTGGCATCCGCACCCATTCCTTCCGTACTGATTTTGCTTCAAACAGGCGCCACAGAATGGCCAGGGGGGTGCCCCTGGTGGCGCCCAGCGAGCAGTGGCGAATGGACCTGCATGCTCTCGGAGACGGCGGGCCGCGAGGGCTGCCAGACTTCGAGAAGGACGTCCGGCTGGCTCGCGACCAGGCCCTGCTGGGAAACTACGAGGCTGCCCTGGAGCGCTACGAGGTGGTGCTTAGCCTGGGCTCCGACGCCTTCCTTGCAGGGCTGCCGGCTGGCCCAGAGAAGCGCGACCGCGTGGAGAGATGGGAGAAGTGCCAGAAGCTCCTCCGCGCAGAGATGCAGGCGGTCCGGGAGATCGTGGCCGAGTGGGCAGACCTGGGCCCCTTCGGGGCGGGCGCCGCTGGCGGCGCACAGGCGGGCGGCCCCCAGAGCAGCATGCTCGACGACTTCTTCACCGCGTCCATGGCCGCCGGCTCCCCTGCCAAGCGGCCCGCGGAAGAGGTGAAGGTGTCGGGGGCAACGCAGGGGGGGGGGATAGGCCCAGGGGGGAAACGCAGCGTCGTCCACGCGGTGCGGACGAGCTCCGTAGCTGCCTGCACGCCCTCCTGAGCTCAGCTGTGTTCTTGCTCTTATGGACACTGCGCAGGCCTGGCGACAGCTTGAGAGGTCCCTTCCAATGGGGGATAGGCTAAGGGGAAACGCATCGACACCCGAATCGCCCATTCCTCGCCGATGGGGAGGGCCCGACAGGCCGCCCCGCCCAGGAACGTGCGGATTCGCTGCCGGTGCCCCATCTCCGATCTGTCGGCGATGCATCGCCGATTTCGGGTCGATGCTTCCCCCTCTGAGCCAGGTCCCCCCCCTCCAGGTCCGCTGTACGTTGGGCGACGTCTTAAGCAGTGCAGGAATTCCCGCCATACTTTTCAAGCTTCTTTGATGCCGATTGCCGCCCCTTTGGCCGTCGCTGTTTCCGCCGTGCTTTCGCGCGAATGCCCCCCCCTCCCTCTTTCCGAGGCGGAAATGCCCGCTCTTTTTTTTCGCATCGCTTGAGGTGCTTCTTCCCGGCGCAGCTTCAGGTCGGAAAGTCAGCCAGAGTACGGCGCTGGAGTCAGGGCCCTGCAACCAAGACGCCGAGATGAGGACCACTTTGGTCTCAGGAAGGGCTCTGGTTTCTGGGCCGTCCCCTCGACCTGGGTCGGGGAACCCACTCGTGGCCGACGCTCGCCACCGCCGGAGAAGCCCCATCCGTTCCTCAGCCAGCGCTCCCGTGCATGGGCATCATATTCGAACCCTGTGGCCCAAGATGCCCCCCGGACCCCCCTAAACTAATACTGATGGCGTGGCGACGGGGGGGGGCGTGAGTGGACAGAAATACTCGAATCCCAAAGCACCGCCTTTACTGAGATCAACATCGACGTCGGGGGCGCGGGGGTGATTTAGAATCTCCCTCGAATTTGTAAGGGTTCGAATCTATTGTCCATTTACTGCCCTTATGGTAGCGCGATGGCTGCACCGTTGCCCCTCAAGGTGCCCCACGCTCAAGTCTGGGACGGTGTCCTCGCCCCACCGTCCCCGCGCCACCGCTCGCCGCCGCTGGACGCGCCGCGCGCTGCGCCGCCCCGGCGCCAGGCCGGCAGGGCCAGCGTGGACCAGGACCTGGGGCGTGGCGCAATGGGGCAGCGGGGGGCGATGCGCGGGGGGAGGGTAAGGGGTGCACCTCTCGTGCACCTCCAGGGGCCCGAAACCCGAAACGGGGCCCCCCGGGCCCAGAGCGGGCACGGGAGGTGCACCTTCCCTCGCCCCCCGTCCATCGCCTCCCCCCCCACCATTCTCCACGCAGCGCCCAACAGGACCCGCTGAGCCAGCTGCCGGCGTGGGCGCAGCAGCCCGGCCGCGCGGAGGCCCCGCCGCAGCCGCGCGCCAGGCGGTCGCCGGCGGTCGGCCGCGATTCCGCCGGAGCTCGCGGCGGCAGCGGCGGCGGGTACTCGAGCGAGGGTGTTCGCGGTTCGGTCGGGTCTGTTGCGTTGCAGTCGGTTGCGTTCGGTTGGTTCGGTTCGGTCGTTCGTCGTGCCGTTGCCGCGTCGCTTCGCCCTTCTGGGCTGCATGCGGCCTGTCGGTTTCGGTCGGTTTCGGTTTCGCTGCCTGTTCGATTGGTTTTCGGTTCTGCCGTCGCCGTGAACAGCCTTGTCGAGGCAGAAGAGGAACGGCAGAAACATGAACTGCTGAAGCTTTTCGCGGATTTCTTGGGTCGGCGCATGGGCCCCTCTGAGGGCGCTTCCGGCGCCGCCCCTGGCCCGAGGAAATCCGAGCGGATCTCGAAACATTTTGTTGATGCCGTTTTCTGTTCCTCTAGGTACGCCGCGGCGGCGGGCGGTGATGCGGGCCGTGCGAAGGCGGGTGGTCAGGCCTCCGCGGGCCGCAACTACAAGAAGCCTTGGCTCGACAACGTGCCCGACAAGAAGGGCGGCGGCGACAAGAAGCCGGGGCAGCAGGGCGAGCGGAACAGCTTCATCGAGCACCTGTATGGCGAGGGTGGTACTGGGCCGGACACTCAGCTGATCGAGGGCTTGCAGCGCGATTGCGTGGACATGTGCCCGCAGGTGAAGTGGGATTCCATTGCTGGGCTCGAGCAGGCGAAGTCGCTCCTAGAAGAGGCTGTGGTGCTGCCCCTGGTGATGCCCGAGTACTTCCAAGGCATTCGCCGTCCTTGGAAGGGCGTGCTGATGTTTGGGCCGCCTGGCACTGGCAAGACGTTGCTAGCCAAGGCCGTGGCAACGCAGTGCGAGACAACTTTCTTCAATATTGGGGCCAGCGCGCTCAGCAGCAAGTACCGCGGCGACTCTGAGAAGCTGGTGCGGCTGCTATTCGAGATGGCGCGCTTCTACGCTCCCACGACCATCTTTTTCGACGAGGTCGACGCATTAGGCGGCAAGCGTGGCGAGTCATCGGAGCATGAGGCATCTAGGCGCGTTAAGGCCGAGCTGCTTGTCCAGATGGACGGCGTCGGGTCCACCAAGAAGGAGGAGGACAGTGAGGCGCCGCAGCAGAAGCAGGTCATGGTGCTCGCGGCCACCAACAGACCCTGGGATCTCGACGAGGCGCTCCGCCGACGACTGGAGAAGCGCATCTACATCCCGCTGCCAGAGGTCGCTGGAAGGACCCAGCTTTTTGAGATAAATTTGAGCACTGTACAGCTCGCGCCAGACGTCGACATTCCGGATCTGGTCCGACGCACGGAGGGCTACAGCGGCGCCGACGTGACCAACGTCTGCAGAGAGGCGGCCCTGATGGGGTTGAGGAAGCGCATGGCCAAGGCGCGTCAGGAGGGCATGCCCATCGCCAAGATGCAGATGTTGAAGGAAGAAGTGGACGTGCCAGTATCGCAGGCAGATATCCAGGAAGCGATATCGAACGTCTCGCGATCCGTTGGCAACGATGACCTCCAGCATTTCGCGGACTGGATGAAGGAGTTCGGGAGTGTCTGAGCGACCCTTCTTTCCAACCGTGCCTTGTCTCGCTAGCTTGTACGCTCCCCCGGATGCTCGAACCGCACTTGCAGTGGGGAGGGAGGAGGAGGAAGGGGAAGAGGAGGAAGAGGAGGAAGAGGAGGAGGAGGAGGAGAAGGAGGAGAAGGAGGGGCGGGACCAGCTCGGAGGAAAGTGGTCGCCGTGCCGGAAGTCCGCCTCGTTCCGCCGCCGGGCCCCGCGTGTGCTTGTCCTCCGGCAGTCCACTGCTTGCAGGGTGCAGGGCCAGCCGGTTGCGAATCCACGGGGCCCCGAATTTATTGGTGAGCCCAGCAGCAGAGATCCACTTTCTGCTCCTCCCCTCTCCTCCTCCGCTCTGCTCGCTGGCTCGCCCGTCTGTCTGCCCGCCCGCCCGACCGTCCCACCATGTCCTCCTCCATCCATCAGTCGTCATGCTCTCCTCGTTCTCCTCCCCTCCTCCATCCTTGTCTTTGCCTCATTCGCCTCTCCCTCCTTCTTGTCATACTCCTCATCCCACTCATCTTACTGCTTCTCCTCTGACCGCTATAAGAGGTCCGAAGTGCCTCCGCCTCCTCATCGTCGTCACCATCATCGTCGTCATCCACATGCTCCTCCTCCTCTTCCTCATGACCACCATCATCCTCATCATCATCATCATCATCATCATCATCAGCATCATCATCAACAACACCATCATCATCAGCACCATCAGCATCCTCATCATCATCAGCATCATCATTATCGTCATCCGCATCATCATCATCAGCAGCATCACCATCACATCATCAGCGTCATCACCAGCATCAGCATCAACATCATCACCGTCACCACCATCATCATCAGCATCATCATCAGCATCATCGGCAGCATCATCAGCAGCAACACCATCAGCATCACCATCATCATCACCATCAGCATCTTCCTCATCATCAGCAGCATCATCAACACCATCATCCTCCTCCTCCTCATCGTCATCATCATCACCATCATCACCATCATCATAATCGTCCTCCTCCTCATCATCATTATCATTATCATTATCATTATCATTATCATTATCATTATGGGCATCATCAACATCATTACCATCATCATCATTATCAGTATCATCAGCATCAGCATCAGCATCATCAACATCATCATCATCATCATCATCAGCATCATCATCATCACCACCATCATCAGCATCATCATCATCATCAGCATCATCATCATCAGCATCATCATCATCCGTAGACGTTTTGGCTCAAGCTGTTTCTCCAGATCTCCCGCAGGCGCCCGTGCGCAGCGGTCAGCGGCGCGCGATTTGGAGATGAGCCATGGCGACGGGGGGCTGCCCACTGGCGCGATGGCGGGGCGGCCCATCAGGCGGGGCAGCGCGCTGCACAGGAAGGAGGAGGCCGAGGTAGGCGCCTCGGCGGCTCGCCGACGCGCGCGGGCACGGCGCCTCCTCGCGGCCGAGTCGGCGGTCGGCAAGGCGGCCAGCGGCGGCCCAGGTTCCTGGCAGGACCGGGAGGCTGCTGCGCGCCCCGCCGTGCGCCTAGCCGTCACGGGATGCAGCCGCCACGGGATGCCGCGTGCCGGGCGCCACGCGGCGGCGGCGGAACGCCGCGTGGCACGCGCTGCTGGCCCCCCATGCGGGCGCATTTGCGCGCGCGTCGGCAACGGGCATCTCGCGGGCCGCTGCAGGCCCCCGCCTGGGCTGGCTGCCCTCGCTCCCGGGGGCGGCCGCGGTGTCCTGCGATGACCAAGGGCTGCGCTGGTCGACACCCCTCGGCGGCGATGGCGTCCTCCAGCACTCCTCGGATGAGGAGACGGTGGTGCAGGCCGACATTATAGGCGGCGGCATCGGAGGCGATGTTCCCATCGTCATCAGCGGCGAGGCGATGGTCGGCGACGACGTGGCGTCACGAGCCGACGTGGAGCTCGAGGAGGCGCCCGAAGAGCAGACCCGCGCCGACGATGAGCTCGAGGAGCCACCCGAAGAGCACCACCAGGCTCTCGCTGACGTGCGCCGCCTCCAGATGGGCGGCGCTGCCGACCCCTCGGCCCCAGATGACCTGGGGTTCGGTTTCGGCTCCGATGCTCGGCCCGAGCACGAGGGCGAGCTCCAGCTCGACACGCTCAGGGACGAGCTGCACCATGCCGTGTCGGACCTTGACCCGCACAGAGCCCGCGCCGCGCAGCAGGCTCACAGTGCTGACGCAGCGGCAGAGGGAGACATCACGGCCACTGCATGTCCAGACGGGTGCGGCCTTTGCGGCTGTGATCCAGCAGTGTCCGACGATGGTGATGGCAGCGACAGCGGCTTATATCTGCGGGCGAACTTTTTGGAGGCAGCGGCAGCCTCGCGGATGGCCCTTGCAGCCGCTAGCATCCTCCTCGGTGTTCCACTCGCTGTGCACCAGTCGTTACAGGACTACGCAAGCTCCGATGGGGGTCTCGGAGGCGAGTGGGAGCCGAGGATCGCCATATTCAGGCATATTCCGTCCATCCTTATGCGCCGTAGGACACGGCCGCGTCGCTCCGCGGTGCAGCACTCTAGCGGCTTGTCCGCTGCGCGATGCCATTCAGGTGGGGAGGGACCTTGTGGTGTAGGCGGAGCCCTCTGGCGGGCTCCGCACGCTCCTGGGTTCCCTCCCCGCCGCTTCTGCTCGTGGCGCCAGGCGGGCCCGCGGACCACGAATGCCTGCGACGAGCGTGCAGGCCCTCGGAGGGGGGAGGGAACCGAGGGGGGAGGGAACCCGCGGCGTAGGCTGTACGCTGCGGGGCTCGGCACACGCCAGGGTTCGCTCCTTCCCGCTAAAGTTGGGCTCGCGTTGTCCTGTGCTGTGCCTTTGCTCGGGGCGCCAGGCAGGGCTGAAGATCAAGAACGCTTGCGACCAGCGAGCGCGCCCCACCGCCGCCGCTCGCAGGGCTGCAGTTCTTTAGCTGCGTACCAGCCCCGTTCACGCTGAGTCGCCGTGACTGCTACGATGGCGCGACTTCCGTTTGATTCGGCTGAGGTGGTGGGCGCAGTGGCGCCTCAAAGCCAGATTGCCTCAAGTCCTCCTCCTCCTCCTCCTCCTCGTTTTCTCCAGCTCCTGCCCTCCTTTTCCAGCCCCTTCGTCCTCCGACTCTTCGTCCTTCCTCCCCAAACTCCCCGCCCTCCAGCCTTAGCTGCCCTGATACGCTCGTTTTGAAACGCAGCACGCGTCGCATCCGGAACGTCCGTGTCAACGCGTTGCGTGCTGGCTCGGCACGAGTGGGCCTACGCATTGGCGAACGTATCGCGCCAAACCTACGTGTTCAGTCCACGTATCGGGGCAGCCGAGCTCCTCACTTCGGCATGCTCGCAACGAGCGGGCCCACCCATTCCCCGCCGCCGCCCCGTGCATCCGCCTTGGGAGGGCCATAGGGGAGGACGAACTCATCTCATGCGCTGGTCTCCTCGTCCTCCAATTCCTCCGTTTTCGAGCTCCTTCGTCCTCTGGGTCCTCTTCCGCGCCCCTCCGCGCCGCTCCGCGCCGTTCCGCGCCCGCCGGCACGCCGCTCGCCTCCGCGGGCGCCGCTCGGGCCGCGGCCTGCCGCGTGGCCTACCGCGCGCGGCGCCGCTACTCGCGGGGCCGCTTTGCGGCAGCATGGCAGGCGGCCGCGGGGGGCAACCGCGGGGTTGGCGGGCGGGACACATCGTCGTCGAACTCGTCCTCCTCCCCATCGTCGACGTCGTCGTTTGCCGGCGCCAGTCGTCGGTCGGGCGGGCGGGCGGGACACGTTGTCGACGCCGACGTCGGCGGGTCCGTCGGGCGCGCGGGCGGAGCCGTGCGTCGCAGGGCTCAGCTGCCCTGATACGCCCGTGTTGTAACGCAGCGCGTGCCGCGTCCAAAACGTCCGTGTCAACGTGTTGGCCCACGTTTTGGCGAACGTGCCGCGCCAAACGTCTACGTGTTGAGCTCCGTGTCAACACGCTGAGTACGTGTTGCATGTTGCGTATCGGGGGCAGCTAGTTTGCAGGGGGGACCATCCCCTCCCCCCAAAAGACGACGCGCGGCCCTCTCGGCCGACGACGACGACGACGAGCACGAGGAGCACGATGAGGAGGAGGAGGAGGAGGAGGAGGAGGAGGAGGAGGAGCATCAGATGCCACGCAAAGTTTCAAACGTTTCGCGGGCACGCCAAATTGAGCAGCCATGGAGCGACTGCAAACAGTTTCCGGTAGTGCTGGTTATCTTTAGCTCGGAATGTTGGCGGTGGAGGCCGTTGAGGTGGTTGAATATTGTGGTGCAGGGTCGGCTCCTCGTGACTAGGTCGTATCTGCACTGTGTCTCCCTAAGCTCCCTCGGTGAGGGCATCGTGCAGTCTCTGGGCATCTATACATCGGCCCTTTGACTTCTACGCCACTTGGACGGGCATCGGTCCATTGGTCCAGTCCTACAGCAGACACTGGCAGGAGAAGGAGGAGAAGGAGGAGGAGGAGGGGGAGGAGGAGGAGAGAAAGGAGGAGAGAGAGGAGGAGAGAGAGAGGAGGAGAGAGAGAGGAGGAGAGAGAGAGGAAGAGAGAGAGAGAGAGGAGGTGGAAGAGCGGAGGAGATTCACTTACTGGCGCCGTTTGGAAGCCGTAGCCAGCAGCCGCCAGAAAGCCGACAGCTAGTCACATCCGCCAGCCACTTAAGGCATCTTGCATTCGCCCTCACAGCACTGCCCTCGGTCAGGGCCTGGGACTGGGACCGGGTGGGTGCAATTTTAGAGGAGGCGGAGGTGGAGGTGGGAGGAGCGCCGCCAACAGCTTCACACATAATCCCTCGGTGAGGGGTGTTTCAGCAACTGCCGCACTGCCCCTCGGTGAGAGCCTTGACCCAAGAAGGGACTGGGGCAGATGAGTCAGTAGCCGGTTGGGGCCACCCTGCGTGTGCCTACCATGTCAGGGCATCTTGGCTAAGCTCCTTTGTGGGCCTCTCCTCTTTCCACATTTGATTGTCTTTCTCACACTCTGGCACTCGTTCACACCTTTTTCTGAGTTG